CGGTTAAGATCTAATTTGATGAAATTCAATAGTAAAAAAAAAAAATTTAATGGTCCAAATTTAAATTAACGGCTAAAGTAAATAAATAAAAAAAAAATCTTTTACGTGTTTCATATTTTTTCATAGTGTTTAACGAGTTTCATGGTGTCGGTTAGTGATTTTTCAGTATTTGTCAGAATCTAAATATTTTTCAGTTTAAATGTTCATAGAATTAAATTAGGATAGTCTACATAATTTTTTCTTTTAAAAAAGTTACTTTTAAGAAAAAAATTAGTCTAAATTCATTCTTTAATAATCTGGGGCTAAAATTTTAGGCCAGAAAGGTTGGAGCAGAAAAGTTGTTTCTAGGTTAAAACCTAAATTTTCTGAGCTAAAGATTTTAGGTTTTAGGCCAAGGGTTGGAGATGGTCTAAAGAAGATAATGATATGGGATTAGGCTATATTGTTTTTAACTTTCTATTGGGAGGGAGCACATCTGACTTTCCTTGTGCTTGGTCTGATGCTCTTTCTTAAATGTCCAAAGAATCCAAGCCAAACCAGATGTTCGACCTTAGGGGCATTAACACGAAAAAGTCTCTAAAGAGGCATACAACTCTTGCAAGACAGCACATCTAAGCGCCTTAAAAGATGCACGTTATGACTTCTGAGCATATTTGACAATCGACACGAAGGACACCTTATAGTGTTTCTTTTGGAAAACACGTAGACATGTAAATATACTTTCCCTTTCTTTTGGCATATCCCAATTAAAATACACACAACACACGGTCAACAGGTGGTCATATTTGTTTGAACAGTCATACAGTGATGTAATTTTCACAAAACAGCACACAGATATATGAAATTTTCAGAGGAAGTATAATTCATCACTGCTGATATCAGAGCACAAGGAAAAGGAAAAATAATAAGACATCACAATTTTTTACTAGCAAGAGGCAATAATCATACCCAAAAAGTTCTTTGTAATTTCTGAAAATTTAGCTTCAGCGGTAATTTCATTGATTGCCTTCACTCTAGTATCTGCTGGCACTGACAAATCCCTTGTGAACTGAGAAAAGGTAGGACTTTTCTTCATAGCCTCAACAATGGCAAAAATCTCAGACTCAACCTTTTCCAAGGCATTAGCTTTTACTGCAGCAATGTACAAAGCAGAGGCATAGTTCCCAGAACCCCCAAACAAAACCAGAGGCACCTGGCATACCATGGCAGAACAAATCAATACAGACCTAATCAGTATAAGCAAATTCGGATGCATTAAGCACGTACATCAGTTTATGTTCTATTTTACTGAAACTTCACGTAATTTAGCTATGAGTCTATAAATCTTAATGTACTTTGTAACAGAAAATGATGCATACACATACTACAATATAACATACTTTATGAAAAGAACTGAAAAATCCAAAATATGCGTGAAGTTTCCAAGCCCATGCACAATAATATGTGTTTGCCACGATAATCTGTCTTTTAAATGAAAATAATGAGCTGAGCACATATAATTCTAGAAAATGTCGAAAACCAACGAGTTTAATTACCTTAACCTTCACTTCCTTCTTCCCTTGCGCGGTAGAAAAGTTCCTGGATGGCTACAAATACAAAATACGAAAAAATTAATCCACATTCTGAAAATTCGACTCAACTTAAGATAACGGCCTCCTAAAGCTTATTCGTCAAACCCATATTTAAGAAAAACGCACGCACAGATACACACTGTATATACAGCTAAAGCTGTGTTTGGTTGAAAACAATGTGAAAGCAACAAATTAATCAAATTTTGATAAGAAATTTTAATCTCTAAAATTTCTAACGATCCTAATCAAAATGCTTGTCCCAGTAACACACATTTTTCATTATCTAGAAACAAAATACGAAATACAAAATTATAAACAAAATTAATTAATTAATCAATAAAAATCCTATCTTTTCGGGAAAAATGAAGCGGAGAAAGCAAACAAATTAGATCAGACACCCAAAACGAGGAGAACTGTATGACTTTTACCCGTTCTATGTATTTCTGCGAAATTTGAAATCTCATTACCTCAGAATTGATGAAAGTAGGGCAAAGCACGGAGCGGTGGGCGATGGATCCGTTGGCGGCGGCGGAGACTGAATCCGATTTGAGAATCTTGGTGACGAGAGGCAGGCTCGATCGGATTCGAGAAGCAAATGCCATTGTTAATAAACCCTAATTTTTTTTTTTTTTTTTTGTTTCTGTGTGATTCTCTCTCGCGCAGTCGTCTCTACTTTCCGCTGTTTAGCCAAACACCGGCTTCGAAAAATGAAAGCTAGAAAGAGAGAGAGAGAGAGAGGGGTAGTAAATGGTAATTAGCCATCCGGGCGAGAACGCTACATCGCATTACTACCGAGTGGTACTGATTTTGTGTGCTACTAACACGGCAGCGTAACACGTGGACTAAGAGTATCAATATGGGTTAATTACGTTTTGTTTCCCTGTGATTTACTCTTGTCGAGATTTTTGGGACACTTCGAATGTCTGATAGACATACCGATTTGATGAAACGTCATTAGAAATATCTCTACAGCATTTTAGTTGTAAGACGTGTCGACAACATTTATACGGATCTTGGCAATACTCAAACAAATTTTTATATGTCAATACGAAGACTTGAAACGATAAGGGAATTTTACATTTCGCACGTGTGGGTTATTATTTGGTTCGTCTGGTCATTAATAATTTGATTGTCTTTGGATAATAATAGATAGAAACAAGGAAACTTTAACAAAAAAATCACATTTTAACACTAAAAATTCAATTCTAATACTATTTATTTTACCTTTGATTTTGTATTTTTCGTTAAAATTCAAAATTTTCAAATCTTTTTTATTAGTTTTCCTTAGAAACAGTACTCATAAGGATTCTTATTGAAACTAAGAAATATAAGTCTTCATGCCATCCACACGACCAAGTGCTCAAGAAATTTCCTACCTAAAAATTTTGCGTGCACCGTGCACATCTTTCGTTTAAATAAAACTTAGATGCTTTACATTAGGACTCCAATATTAAAATCTTATTTCCATATTGCGAAGACAAAATAATTATCTAAAAACAGCATTTAATAATGCCAACAACATATTAAAAGGCGAAAAATTATTTAATAAGCACATTCATATTATGAGTACAACTACTAATAAACGTATAAAGAACATTAACGTGGGTATCATGAGAAATGAAGCCAAAAAATAAAAAATTGCCTTATCCTTTGGGGGAAAAAAAAGGTAAATTACACTTTACCACCTCAAGTTTAGGGTCGATTTCAATTTCTTACAATATATTTAAAACATTTCAATTTCATACCTCAAGTACTATTTTATTTCAAGTCTGTTAAGGCTGACGTGGCTGCCAAATGTGTGCCACGTGGCAAAAATAATAATTTTTTAAATTAAAAAAAAAATTGCATAACCCACCCCCACAACCCCTCCCCACCCCTCTTCTTTGGAGCCTCCCAACCACCTCCCTCTCCTCCATTCTCTTCACCTCCCCTTCCATCTAAAAACCCACTCCACCCACACCTTCCCCGAGCCCTTTCTCCTCTTCACCCCCATCCACTTTCTCCCTTCTCTCATCTACAAACTCAAAAATTTGACTACAGGAATTTTTGCCCAATCCCCAAAAACCCTTGTGCCAATAGAATTCCCAAAACTTTAGGCCAACAAAAACTATGAAGACAAGATGTTGACACCCATAAAAAAAAATCCAACACCCCCAATTCAGTCCCCCTCTCTCTCCTCTCTCTCTCTCTCTCTCTCCCTCAACATATTCAAACATACACACACTAACCCCACTACTCTCTCTCTCTCTCTCATTCTCCACAGTGATTTATGTCGCCTTCAATTACAACTTTCCACCACAGTGATTTATGTCACCTTCAATTAAGACCCAGTGGACAAGCCCGACGACCCCATGGACGAAGACGTTGCCAGCCTCGCCGCCGTCTTCTGTATCAGGCTCAAGCAGCCCAGGTCCAATTTGCAAATGAGCGAATGGAGAAAGAAAGTTGGGGTGAAGAGGAGAAAGGGCTCAGGGAAGGTGGGGGTGGGGTGGGGTGGGGGTGGGGTGGGGTGGGATGGGATGGGGGGGGGTGTTTTTGGATGGGAGGGGAGGTGAAGAGAGTGGAGGAGAGGAAGGTGGTTGGGAGGCTAGGGAGGGAGAAGGGGGGTGGGGAGGGGTTGAGGGGGAGGTGGGGGTGGGTTCTGCGTTTTCAGTTTTTTTTTTTTTTTTTTTTTTTTTGGAGAAGATTCAGGTTTTTTTTTTTAATTAAAAAATTTAAAAAAAATTTGCCACATGGCACACATTTGATAGCCACATGACACAAATGTGGCAACCACGTTAGCTCTTAACAGATCAATGGATGAAAAATGTAACGAATGTATTATATTAAAATAAAATAGTACTTAAGATATGAAATTGAAATATTTTAAAGATATTATAAGAAATTGAAACCGACTCTAAACTTAAGGTGGTAAAGTATACTTTACCCAAAGAAAAAAGAAGAAGAAAAGCCAACAATTACGCGAACTCAGTCATGGCTTAATCCTTTCTCGACTTGGCCCAATCGAATAATAAGGGGCTGTATACCGACGAGAGATTTTTCAGTGTGATCGGTACATAGGATGATAAATCATGTGTTGCTATATAAATAATAGGATATGTGTGTAAAAAAGTTGATAACTTAAAAAATAAAATTTTCCAGTACTTACATAAAAATTCATGATATATCATTGTGTTTCTGTCACAACTAAAAATTTCTCTTCACCGACACCGAGCTGCCAAACATCAAAATCCCCCGCCACCAAAGTTGGTCAGCCCCACCCAACAACCGGTCAGATTCAGACATTTTACATTTTCCAATTCTTCCTTTCCCCAAAAAATCCTTCTGTTATCCATTCTCTCTCTCTCTCTCTCCCTCTCTCCCTCTCTCCCTCCCTCTCCCCACCCACTCTCCAGCTACCTCCAATTTCGAGAAACAATTATCTCCAAAACCCTCTTCTTTTCTGCATCACACTCTTCAAAACTCAATTGGGTTTCAATCAAAATCCAATCTTTGAGATCATATTTTTGTGGGTTTTGATTTGAATTGATAGATAGATAGATGGTGGTGTTGCAGTTGTTCTTCACAGTGGCCTTCTCTGCAGTGCCTCTCACTCTCTACGTGCCTCCACTCAGAAGCCTAAACCCCTTCGTGGAGACCATGGAGGAACTCTTCTCCGAATCAAGAGCTTACACCAATAGGGTCTACCCACGTGTCCGACATCTTTGGTTTAGGATCTTGGATTGCTTACTTTGCAGCAGAACCACAAGGTAGATACACACACACACACACGCATATATATATATATATATATAGATTTTGATTTCAGTTGGTAACATGTAGTCAACTACATATCACCCAGCTTCACTTCTGAAACATGTTTCAGATTTGGGTTTTTGTTTTTCCTATTTGTGGTAAATAAGGTGTGAGCGATGGAGAGTTTGGTTTTGGTGATTGTGGTGGTTGTGTTGTTTGTGTTTTGCCGGCCCGATTATTTGCTGATGTTGTAAAAATGCTGTCTTGTAATTTCATCATTTCACGAGAATATTTTCATGGCATATTGCAGGGATGTTCTGTTTTTTTATTTCTTTATTTCCATCTCTCATATTTTAGTGCAACTTATATGGTACTGGTATACCGCCATTGTAGTAATTTCTTGTGTCTACCAACATATGTGAACAAAAACTACATATGTTCTTTTCAATTGTTAAATATGCATGATATAATCTGGATTTTAGATTCTGGGTTTTCATGGGCAGCTAGACTCATAGGTGGTTAATAGTCATGATTTGAGTTAAAACTATGGTTATGAACTTCATAGCTTTTTAAGTTATTTAGAGTTGGATGGTTTTTTATTTTATTTTATTTTTGTTGTTGTTATACGACTGAAATCGAGGGAATCGAACACAGGACTTTTGAGGCTCAAAGTTCAGGATCAATGATCCTGGCAGCTCGAGCTATAAGCCGGTTGCTTCTAGAGTTGGATGGTCAAGAGTTTTATATGTCATGCTTCATAGATGTCTTTGAGGATTAGTATTCAAAGTTGAGCCCTAAATTTCCAGAAACTATAGGATGATAATATAAGAACAAAGGAACAAAGTGTGAACTTTGTGGCTTTAACTATTAGAATTAGTAACATATTGATATCAGAGTGAACTTTGTGGCTTTAACTATAAGATACGCACAGTTTTGTTTTCCCTAGTCAACCTCAGATTCTTATTTTGAAAGCTGTTAAAGAGTGGCTTGAGGTGCAAAATTTTGATGCTAAAGCCTGTGAGGCATAGATTTTTTAGCCTGGGATCCTTCTCCCCCTAATTATGCTAAGTCGAAAGTGGATGGAAGTATAAAGAGTGGCAAGGGTTGCTCTTGTGCTAATGGTATTTTACGTGCTGCTGCAGGTGATTGGATTGCTCGTTTCACTATAACTATTTGTGTGGGGAGTGTGCTTAATGCTGAGTTATGGGGTCTTTTTCATGGCCGCTCTCTTGCTTGGAGATTGTTATAGATAAGTGCTAGTTGAAATGGACTCTGTTGTGGCTGTTACTTTAGTAATGGATTTTAATTCCTCACTTCACCCTCTTGCTCATCTCATTACTACTTGCCGAGAGCTATTGCGGAGGGATTGGATTTGCTCGTTTTCACATGTTTATTGTGAGAAGAATAGAGTGGCTGATGTTATGGCAGAACTAGGCCATGAGTTTGACATTGGTCTTCATGTTTTTTATGAGCCTCTCCTCTTGTGGATAGGTTGATCTTTGAGGATGTAGTTGGGCTTCCGCAGACCGTTTTGTTAATAGTACGTTTCTGGAAGATTGTTCTATAGTTAGTTGTTTTTCTTGGGTCTTTTGGCCCCAGTTTTACCAAAAGAAAAAAAAAACTATAAGAATGAATAACACATCGATAGTGAGAGAGTTGTCTAAGATACAAACTGTATCGGTTAGTATATTAATGAGATTCAATCTTTGAAGATCATAAGAGATCTCAAGTTTGAATCTTTTTACTATTAGTTGTATACATTCGAAATGAAATCTTAAAAAATGTCTCAAGTTTGAATCTCTCTGTAATTGATTAAAAACGGCCGAAAAGTACAAAATTAATGTTTTTTCTTGGAGCCTCCAATTGTGGGCTTTATAGCCAAAGCCGAAAAGAACAAAAAAAAATGGGATGTGAGGTGGGTTTTTGATCTCTATGTGGATTAGGTTGAGATTCTTGAGAAGGATTGGCGGTTTGTCATTGTTGGTTCATTGTTGACATGTGAAGTTGATACCACCTAAGAAAAACGAAAGGGAACCTTAACAAGTGAGGCCTATAATTTTAGAAGCATTTGTCATGTGAAACTGTACACCATAATGTGTCGTACGTCAACTCTTTAAACTATTAGATGTGACGGGTTTACCTTTCACTCTTATGGCATACAATAATAGTATCGTTGGACGGCGGACCATCAAAATATGTCCATGTTATATGGCAGATAGACTCTAGAAGTAAAGAAAAAGTGATATCTGTAACACATTGTCTCTCGGACAAACACGTGAGAGGACGTTAATGAGGTGTTTCAGACCTCCAAAAAATCCAAATTTTCATGTGCAAATTTGGAAACTTGAAACTACATGTTCAAAAGTAGAACTTCGCCAAACTACATGGAACTCATAATTTGGCCTTCACCAGATCAAGAGAAAACCAAAACAATGTCATAAGAAAAGGCTTACGGTGTATGAAACTCAATGCTGAATATCGAAAGCTTATTCATGGAAGCTGAGCTCAGTACAATTATTGTGTGGGTGTGCTCAGTACATTACAGTTTTATTTAGCAAAAGCTAGATTTGTCCGAAGCAAATTAAAACTATAGACCACGAGGGCGAAACAATTAACGAACGGTAACAAAGAACTTAGAAAAAGAATCGAAAGAATGAAAGAATGGATGTAATTTGTTGCTCAATGTTTTAGCTGGAAAGTGTTGTGCAGGTTTTAAAAACCAGAAAACGTCCAACGCTCTTGCTTCTCTTCCATCGACTATACAGGCAGGTTTACCTTTCTCTGTGGAATCCTCCTTGCTCACCACCCTTTTATTCTGCTCTACCTCTCCAAGGATTCCCCGTTCCTGATCATCATTCAGTTACAAGTCAGTCAGAAAAATGACATAACTTGGATAAATATTAGCAGGGATATACGATGTGATCTAAGTTTGGGGCAGCAAGTTGAGTCAAATCAAAAATGGTTTAGAGTTTGTGGAATCATAGCACTAACACTTATGGGATGAAATATCTATTTGTAAATCTCAAGCAAATTACTAATGTTGGTAGGCATGACTGAAATTCTTCTTGACTGGACCAAAGTTTTAGTACTAACAAGCTTGAGTTGCAAGAAAGACTCGAATATCTCAGTCAAGTTAAAGATAGACTTGACTGGACCAAAGAGCTAGCTTATATCTCCTTCCCTACCGACTATTGGGTATCGTCGGCAGGGAAAGAACCCAGACCATAGTTTTAGTTCTTCATGCAATTCTTCTCTCACCTTGTGATTAAGCGAACGAATATAATATGAAGAAGGAGAAGGACGCAGCTAGGTACATACCATCAGCTTGGACTTGGAAGCTTTTGAAGGTGTGATGTTGCTGGAGGGCCTTGTGGCAGAAAAGCATTGAGGAGAGGGAGGGTTGGTGCGGATTTGCAACAAGCTCTCGCCTCCTTTGCGCCTGACATTCTCTAAACTTAGAGGGATTGGGACGTTCTCTGCCTCATCATCTCTTCTGCAGAAGGTGGTCATCAAAAGTTAACCATATGTATCCAATCATCAAAGCCAGAAAGTTTCAACATTCATAGAGGTATATTGCCTTGTTATCATATGATCATCATTTTAACTGCACCACATGTATGTTTTCACCATAACAAGTGAAAAAGAAAATGATCATGCCATAAAAACACAGATGCAAACACACATTTACATACAGAATAAGGCGTACAAGTGTGCACAAATATCGAGGCTTTCATTACACACAAATACATAGAGAAAAAGAACAAACTTACCTCTTCCTCGTCGGCTTCTCCTCGGTATTGCTCCCCCTCATTCCTTCAGTGTTTGTTTTGCTTACCCCATGCAATGGCGTTCTCTCCGCTTGCCTCTCATTTTTCCCGTTATTAACCTCCAGCAATGGAGTTGTCTCAGTTTGCCTCTGAGTTTTTCCATTACCCACCTCAAGCAGTGGCATTCTTTCTGTTTCCCTCCCTTTCAACTCCCTTAAAACCTCACTGTTACACTCCTCATTCTTCACTACCTCTTCCTTCAAACCCGCTGGGATTTTCCTCACATCTGAATTCTCCACATCCTCTCTCTCCCTCGCTCTCATTGCCATTCTCTTCAATTCAGAACAGAAGTCTGTAATCTGATTCAGAATATCCCTCCCCGCAAATAAATTCCTTGCAGACAGCGTGCTTCTCAGCTTTGGAAGCACCTCATTGTTTGGCGGTGTGCTCTCAATTGGTTGCTTCTTCTCTGTGCTTGATTTGATTGTTGCCTTCATGGCCTTAGCTTGGTTCATTGGAGGGGTTGATAAATTGGGGTTCTGATTTTCACCATCTTCCTTGAATCTAGAGTTATTAGTCGGGTAAATCGAAGATTGCTTCAATCCCCTTCTCTTTAACTTCACATCTCTGAATCAGCCAAAAAAAGAAGTTAAATCGTGCCGAAATTGAATTAAAACTGTACTGTGAAAGAAAAGGATTCATGGGTTTTTCTTGTTACCTCTGGATTTTATCACCAAGTGGAGAAACTTCAGAAACAACAGCTGACCTCGGAACCTTTCCCAAATCAACAAACAAAGAAATTAGAATTTAGAAACTCTAGAAAGGGTAAAAGTTGAGAGAATTATACAAAATATATGCTGGGGTAACTCCGAAATTTAAGGAAAATAAAGACGAAAGCGAAAATAAAATCTTATCCCGAATACAAAAAGGGTTTAGGCTGGAAAATGGAAATCTTCAATTTTCAATCTTTCCCATCACATTTTCTTAGCAACCAAGCAGATTAACAAGAATGAAATATAAAATAAACAAAACCCTCATCAGAAAACCGACCAAAAAGAAAGAAAGGCTGGAAAAGAAGAAACCTTGGGAGGTGATGACTTGAGAAAATCTTCAGCCGTCTTCGGATGCTTGCATTCTGCAATTTACAAAAAAAAAAAAAATTCCAAGCAAATCATGAGTGAGTCAAAATTCGAAACAAAGAAAAAGAGAAGGGGTTGAAGTATAATTTGTGAATGATTAAGGTACCGGGGCGGCAGAACCAGGCCTGATCGTCGACGGAGTTGTCATTGGGGTTCAAGAAATCGAACCACTTGGGGGCGTTTATTTGCTCGTAGTATTTGTCCTCTGTGAATCTCCACTCTAAACGTTTCCAATCTATTTTTGCCGGTTCCATAACTCTCACAGACAAAAACCCAGAAAGAAAGCAAGCTGTACAACAACCACTGCAAGAGAGAGAGGGAGACAGAGATTAGGGGGTTTTGTTGGGTTTTGGAGCTGAAGAGGTGGACAGTGGAAGAAGAAGAAGTAACCGTTACGGTAGAGAGAGCGAACGTTGGTGGCGTCGGTGGGGTTTTACCAAATTTTCGACCGTTGGAGATTAATTAATTAATTAAGTATTGGGGTCTTTTTCTTCTTGTCAAGAATTAAGTATTGGGGTCGTGGCTTATTTAGTAGGGTTTCCCATTCTTGGATCTGGACTTCGGAGGTACACGTGGCTTTTGGATGACAATCATGTGATCTTTAAGATTTGTGGAAAAAAAGAGTATCATACTAAATTAGATAATTACGATGACACATAAATTAAGCCCATCAAATAAAATAACGACACATGAATTGTGAGCATACCACACCTAACCTTAAAAAACTAAACATACGCCTGCCTTGTAGGTCAATGGCATTCGGGCCCATGTACATCCTTAAGGCCCATGATATGTCATTCGTGCTACCGTGCCTTTTCTGGCTTGATGAAGCATGGGTCCACTCTTCGGATTCCCCCCTTGGGTGTCGCACCCTCCGGTGCCACTTCCTACTAGAGACTTCCCATCAGGGACTTCTCGTAGTTACCTACGAAAATTGGTATACACCACACTCGCAAAACATGGCAATCTGCCAAGCATGATCTACAACCTCTCCTCCTAGTTGCTTTTGATGAGTTTTTCCTATAAATAACCAAGTCAAATCAGAATATCGGTAATGGCCACTTATTACTCAAAATTCTCTTGTTCTAATTTATGTCAAACTACCCCTGACTTAGGCATCAAAGGCCCTTTGGCAGACACCCTTCTCCTTATTCTCGGGTGTTCGTCAATTAAGCTAACGGTGATTTTTATTTTGTAGGTGTGATTTCGTCAATCCAAAAATGGACGGAATTTGCATCTACGTGTGCTACCATAGATTAAAATATCCTTCATATTACCAAAATATATCTCACTACATCTGTAAAATAGGGTTGCCGATAATCAATATGGGTGAAGCAATATCTATACAGGATATCTTAGAAACTTCAAAGATATTTCAGTAATATCAAGAATTTTGATAGTTTGGTTCAATCTAGACAGATTTGAGAAATTTAAAGATATTTCAACAAAAATTTGATGAAAATTTTGGTGCAATTTCGATCACAATATTTTTTTATAGTTGCTAGTCAATATCTGAATAGTGTAATTTAAAATTGAAAGACAATAAAACAAAGACAGAACTTGGCTGCTGAAAAAATCAACAGCAGCTTCTACTGCTAGCAAATTACAAATGGACACGTGTCCAATATGTGATTAAAAAATCAATTACTTAGACACGTGTCCATCTATAATTGGTCAATAGCAGGAGCTGCTGCTAATTTTTTAGCAACCAAGTTCTGTTCATAAAACAATTGTCTCAACTACCATGCATGTGTTTGCATTGTTTAATTAAACAAAACTTAAATCATACCATCAAGGTTTCATGTATGTTATAAAGTACAAACAACAAGGAATAGAAATATAGAAAGTGTATTTTATACAATATAATTCAAATTCAAAATTCTTACTGGTGTAGAAATTTCAAACTTAACTCTATGTTTTTTAGCAATCTTCCATGATTTTATATTATATATATTTTTAATACATTCATTATTTTATGTTTTAAACCTATATTTTCACTCGATATTTTTCTAAATTTGGACTATCAATACATCTACAAAATCGAAACTTAAATCCTTGATTGTAGGCTTGTAGCCACAAAGTCTCAAAATAACGAAACTTTTAGAGTGCCAATAACTTTCTTCTCTGTCTCTTCCATAGCAAAGGGTTGGCACTTTTCACATGCTAAAGCTTCTTGTAAAATAAGGAATTCATTGTTGTTTTGGACAAGTGAATTTTTGTTTCGTGTGATGTAAATAGATCCAATCAGTACCAAATGAAGTTTAATTTAGAGATTAGGGAATTCTAGACAGTTTCTGCTTATTGATTAATACATAAATAGATCCAATCAGTACCAAATCATCAACTTCACAGAACCCAAATAAGATCTGATTCACCTCAATCTCCTCAAGTCTTCAATCAATCATCCAAAACTATAAAATTAACTAAATAAACTGACATGAATCTGATATAACAACATTTTCAAGAACACAAGCTCAAATAAACTAAACCTCTAGCTTCGACGCGAATCAGTGATTTTACGCACAATATAAATTTGTCAGGTAATTTATCTCTAATTTGAATCTCATATTCACTTACAGGAGGTTGAATTATAGGGTTTGTTTTCTCTACTACTTCACCGGAGCGTGTTAAACGAAAGAGATAAAGGGGGAGGACCATAGTCTTACCATAGTCTTCAACTACTTTATGTATAGGCAAAGAAAAAATAACCAAACCATATGAAGGGGAAGGAAGATAAAATTTCAGCTTCAGCTAGGAAATGAAATTGATGCTCTAGTGCCTTGACTCCTCACCGAAAACCTCGAGGTTGCAAACTGGGCATACCTAAACAAATATAGAAACGGAAATGAGAGTGAGTGAGCGGAATGGATCATCAAATGGAAGATAGAAAATAGTGATATAATGAATTCTGAAATCCATGATTTTAGGGCGTTGGCCTACCTTGTTGATACCGAGCCATTTGCTGATGCATTCGCTATGGTAGACATGTTTGCATGGCAATGTGATTTGTCGATCTCCTCTTTTATACTGCATCTGGCAAATCACACACCTGCTCGTGGAAAAAGTTCGTATCAAGGGGCAAATTCCAAAAGATCAAAAGAAAAAGAGGATTCTTCTTCTTTTTTCTGGTCAAAGGAGAATCCTCCAACAAGTTTTCTGGAAACAGATAAAAGAATGGGAAAAGAAGTGTTCTTTTGATAACTTCTACAACACAAACCAACTGAACAAATCATCAGCAAATAAAGGGTGCGCCACAAAGTTGCCCATTTTATCAAGCAATTATATGCTAATAATTTTATTTTTTGGAAAATCATTGTGAAGACAGTAAGAAAAAATCAAAAGTATCGCCAGATATTTTACATCTTTTAAAGGATTAAAGTTCATCTTAGAGGTTTCTAAGACAACGCTTGTCGAGAAATCACATTTTCAGTTGCTATATAATGAGGTTTGCGTCTCAAGTGCCTTGTAGATGATGATAGAGTTGAAGCAGGAAAAATTTCTCATTTCTGATAGGTTAAGTGTTTATGACAAGATTATTTGCATAATACCAGACAATATCCAGATTGTCTAGAGAATTACAAATGAAATGAGAGGCCATCACATTTACTTCTGAGATAAGGAAAAGATAAGGTCGGAAAACAGGTTTACTGATTTAGGCAGATAAATTCTCATTATCAACTGTCCATGAGTCAGAATGTTACCTCTCTCCGGATTTTTTCCTTAAAAAGAAGTTTCCACACTTGTATTTTGACGATGGAAGCAAACTAATAAGTTCTTCAGAGAGACCTCGGCTTTGAGTGCCAACTGCCTCACCCAAGTCAAGTAATTCCTAGTGGCAATACATAAAATAAAACATTTCAATATCATTCATGAAAAATTGGAAAATCCTATAGTTTGTACTAGATGTGTCAAACCAATATAAATAACAAAACAAAGAGAAGCCAGTGCACAAGATCAGTGAAACCGCTTGCCTTAAGTACCCCAATCTATACAGCAAATATGGCTAATTGCAATTATGAGACGAAGGCTCAAGGAAAAAGAGGTAGAGGAAGACCTAAGAAGACTTGGAAAGAAACTTTAAGAAAAGACATGGAGTGCTTGCAGCTAACAGAAGACTTGGCGCAAAACGGATTGCAGTGGGATTCTACGATTCTCACATCCAGCCGCACTTAGTGGGATAAGGCTTTGTTGTTGTTGTTCAATATGTCTCATATTCTTAATTTGGGCCGGGTATAAAGAAGTTAAACCAATATTGAAGTAAATTTGTATGCTGTATATCAGAATGTGATATAATAGTTTTTGAAGCCTCAATGTGATTATATTGTTCATCTTCAAAATCTAAAGAACCATAAAAAGCTACTTTTATGCATTACTAACTTCAAAGAGTTATGTGTGGACGTGCAACTGCCCAGGTTTGTGTTAATGCTTAATAAGTCCCTTGTGGGAACAAAATGGTAAAGAATTTCTACTTCCAACAAGATTTACTTCGTCTGAAAAACCCATGGGACAGTAACAATGCAGGATAATAGATTAAGGTATACATAACGAACCTCATAGGTCATGGTATCAGGATCAATATCCTCTTGCCATGCAACCTGCACATATACAGAGAGCAAAAGGCTGAACTTTAGCATAACTGCCGTGCAGGAGTTCAAGTTCGAAATAGTTAAGTGCATTTTCCAAAACAAATTAGTAGGCTTAATAATGCAGAGTAAATAATCCAGCAGAAGGAAAAACATGCAATTGCACAACCACAAAGCAGGATCCATACCTCAGAAGTATTTGTATTTTGCTGATTCTGAATACCTTAAAAAGCAAAAGAAATTCTTTATGGTTAGAGATAGTGTTCAATCGACTTGTTAAACGTCAGTTTCACAAAACATGAGTGAAGTATCAATAAGGTTATAAGAAAATTCAAATCACATTACGGCATTATAGCACCATCAGAAATCAATTGCAACAAAATGGTATTGCGGGTTTTAAAACGTAATGAAAATACGAAATGTCAAGGAAAAATGATCTTTTATAACTCCAATGGCCAGTAGCATAATCTTTGATTCCACCGGATAAGTAGTCACACAGGAAACTGAATTGTACTGAAATTTCATTTCAAATTCCAAGCACAAGAAGCAAAGCATGACAATAAGGGAAACTTAATAAATTAAAACATTTGGCATGCAGTCTAATCAAGGTGTGATCAATCAAAACAATTTTCAGTGTAGGAATACAAATACGTAGAAGTTTCTGACTAACATTCTTCAGGCACAGCTTGAGCTTCCATGACAGCGTCTTCTTCTGGCTGTGAGTCGGAGGTTGCAGGCTCTTCTGGATTTGTCATTGTAGGGTATTCCCAAGTCCTCCTGCTGACGTCCATTCTTGGTAAATGATCATTTACCTCATATGTACCGTAATAAGAAGTACTCCCCGGACCAGATGGTAAAAACTTGTATGAATTCATATTCATTGACCAGTACGCAGTTTCCTGGACAAACAGCATATAAAGGTTAGCGTTTCAGCAAAAACTAAAATTTAAGTTCGTCAAAATAATACAGTATTTCACTCAGCAAAAATGGTAATTTGTAACGAAAACTCTAAATTGACACTCAGTAAAGGCATTAATACATTTCAGCTTCCCCGGATCTATCCAAAATCTCATGAATACCAGACAGAAGACGAAAGCAAATGCATCCGAACAAACACCAGCTTTCCAAATTTACAAGCAAGATGGATCTAAAACAATCTTATGAGGCAGCAAACCTTATGAGGCGGCGCAAAACATGTCATTGCAGAATAACTCTCACAACAAAAGAACACATCAAAAATGGAAAAAGCTAACTTGCCTGATCATGCATCGGCATGGTGTGACCATAATTCATCGGTACATTAGCAAGACCGTCAAAGAAACCCATGAAGCCTTCGGTAGGCGGGTAAGGATAGCCCGTGTCCAGGTAATGCATTTCCATATGTCCATTAACATTCATTTTTGCACCACGAATCAAACTGAGATTCACATAACAAGCTACAAAACGGAAACAAATTCTTTCGGTACTTTATGCTAAAAAATGAAATTTAAACTAAAGAAAAATATAAACTTTCACTATATATTCATATTTGTGTGTGTACGTATGTGTACATTGCAGCACTATCCTCATAGACTAAGAAACTTTTACTATAAATTCAGAATAAAAACTTTTCTTTCAACAATTTGTGACAAATTACAACATATATTTTAAAAATTTGCAAAATTTAGGGCAAAATATGGACATGGGCATTCTCAGAAATACTGAAGCAGAATTTAGAGCCCTGTTTCATCTCCTACCTGTACATTCCTGTTTGGCTACTAAGAAAATGAAGGAAAGAACTTCAAGACATGAAATTTTCCTTCTCTTTCTTTCTGTTTTGATTTTCTCAGTAGCCAAACGCATGACAAGGTTGTGTAAAGAAGCGGTACCTTGATATTAAGCCAGGAATCCCTTCACATGTCGCTGTAAAGCAAAAAATCTGAGAGACCGAATAAGCAGCTCGGAGGACAAGTGAGAGAAATTGCAGCCTTCTTTCTTTCTAAGTTCAAAGTTTCTTCCCCTTAATTTCTTGAGAAAATTTGCTTCAACTCAGAGAGATAGAGAAATGGGCATTTAAGTTTGCACTTTACATATACAGAGAGAGAGAGAGAGAGAGGAAAGAGAGGTTTTCTGTGTTGTGCTTGTGTTTCTCTCTCTCTAGAATTCTATTGCATAATCCGTTTTTTGTGCGTTGCGTTTGGCTTTTGTGCAGAGGAGCAGCTACATTTGAGATTTTCACGAACACGCTTCCCTTCTTAGGAATTTTTTAGTTTGGCTCGAACACGCTAAGCGGTATAACACATGTCATTATACAAACGTATAATAATATATGATGTACTGTTCGTGTTCAGAACACAATAAAAAATCTCTCCCTCCTGAGTTGTGTGTTTTGTTTTGTTGTTTCTACCCCGCCAACTTCTTACCAAAAGACATTACAACAACCATCCCGTCTCTACAGCCTACTCTATGCTACACCATTTCACTTTATGTAATTAACAGTAGTATATTTGGGACATGTGATCTATGGATGGATGGATGCATGGATGCATGGCATTGAGCGAACGAGTCATGGCTGGGCGGGGGGGTAAAAGCCGTTTTTACCGCCGGTGAGATCTGTCGGGGGTGGGGGGCAGCCGCACTTACCAGAAGATCTGTCTCTTGCTTTACTCTATTGAATTTTTGCCGTACATCTCAGATCAGGTCTGCAGTGTAAAAAGATCTTCAAGGTTTTTCATCCCTACAATTTGTTCACCTAAAAGAAAAAGTTGTTTGGTCCCTATTTCGTAATAGCTTTATAAAGTGCAACTAGATAAGGTTAATTATTATCAAAAGTGTCTCCTTCCAAACAACATTAGATCATAAAACAAAGGTAAATTTTGGTTAACCACCCTCGTTTTCTACGGTTGTTGATAGCAACTTATGTCAAAATGAGTTCAGTGTCATTCAGCGTTTTAGTTCAATAATGGATTGTTTGACAGTGTTTTAATAATGCATTCATATAGTCAGAGAAATTTGCACAAGACAATGTATAATTAAACTGAGATGCTACGTGACGGTGAACTGGTTAATTAAAGCAAAATGTCTCACTTTGACCATTTCACAAAATAAAACACAACTTATATCAGATGGATTTATTTCTAATTTCCTAGAGGTCTTTTACGTAAAAGTCTCACACCCATTGATTGCATAGGTGATTAAGTAGGTACAGTATCGATAGAATTAGTGGTGGTCCGATGCCCATCTCTCTTATCATAGTAGTGAATTGGTTAGGGTATTAATTTATTCATGAATCTATTTTGAGTTGTTGGTAATAAGGCATAAGACTGTTTGGATTGTAAAACTATTATATCACTCTATAGTATATATAGTGTCACAGTGTTTTTCGTTGAAGGGTGACAATTCCTAAAAAAATTAGCACAAATAGTGCCTTCAAGTAAAAGAAAATGAATATAGCAGATGGAATTAATAGTGATAATTTCTTAGTATAGAACAAAATAAGTATGAAAAGTAGGGGTGAGCATCAAATCGACCGAACCATCCAAACCGACTAATCTAAATTGTATTGGTCGGTTTGGTTTGGTTTTGACCAAGAAAAAGTCAAATAATTTCAAAACCAAACCAAATTGATTTTATGTTAGTTTGGTTCGGTTTTGATACTTTTAAAACCGACCAAAACTAAAACGAACTGATTTTATGTTAGTTTGGTTCGGTTTTGATACTTTTGAAACTGACCAAAACTAAACGGGAACTGATAATATATCTTTTAATTATAACTTTATTTATTTTACATATGTCAACATATTATAGGTTCTTTGGATGTCTAATTTTACATATACAATAAGTGTTAACACATTATAAGTTGTAATTAATGACTACTAACCAATAGAAGATTTGTTTGTATTTTAGGATTATGTGAGATTGTAACTAATAAAATGTTTGCTAATATGAGTTTTTATATAATTGAAACTTAATTAGTCCTAGTTGACTTGATGAAATCTTTATGTTTTAAAACTATCCATTTGACATGTGTGAGATGTATCGAAATGTTGGATATATCTTATTGATGTATGGGGAATAGGCTTAAACCGACCAAATCAAACCAAAATTAAACCGATTAACAATGATTTGGTTCGATTTCAATAGTGATATTGATCAAAACTAAACGAAACTGTTAATTTGGTTATAATCAAATCAAACCGATTGATGCTCACCCCTTAATGAAAAGCCCATTATTTCAAAGCTCTATAGAGCAAGAAGCATTATAGAATAAATTTCCACCAGCAAATGTGACACATTAGATTATGACTAGCTTATTGTGTGGTTTAGCCCCATTTCTCACTCACTTAGTGTAAATACTATCTATGTATTAAAAAAAAAAATTTCCATAAGTCAACTTTACACTTTTGAATGATGCCTTTAGTGGTCATTAAAACTTTGTTATGTATTTCAGTATATATATGCCATTGAAAGCTTTGTTTGTACGCAATATAAAATAATCCAGCCCTTTGAACCATTGGAGAGTGGCTGTTTTAACTTTTGGCACGTATATAAAAATGGAGCAACATATTTTAACTTTGAGTAAGTCAATGATTCAACCAATGAAAGAATATTAATTATGCAAAATCACAATGGAAGAGCTATAAGGAACGTTTTTAACTAGAGAAATGCCAACAAGATTTTCTCAAAAATGAAATTTTCGGTGGACTCTTCACTATATTATGTTTTTGGCACAATTCTCTTGCTAACATATAAAACGTCATGTCAAAAACATAAGCTGACAGAGAGTTTATGAATAGTCCAACTTTTTAAGAATCTCCTTAACATTTCCCTTTTAACTAAGATTCCGTTTCAAGAATTGGTCTCGTTTGGTGTGTAGGACAAGTACTAGCATTGCATTATATATAGTAATTCAATCCTAATGCACAGTACTTAGTGTAGGATTATTGGAAAGGGATCCTCTTTGGATCATTTCCTTCTAATCCACCAAGTCCGGGAATCCGGACCATTGAAATTTGATCAAACGGTTACAAACAGGAGCTCACTTGAAAAGTTATAATAATTTTAGCCATTGAATTAAATTTCAATGGCCGGATCTTCGGACTTGGTGGATTAGAAGGAAGGGATCCCATGATTACTTACAACGAACGAATTTACACGAAACATGTGTTATTTTTATTTGCATTTTATAGCATAATCAATCCTTATAAAAAGTTACGACAACTAATTAATCGTACTAATCCCATCACATGGCTTAGGGCGCATTACTCATAAATTGAGAGAAATACATTGATCGGATTTGCATTATTATGAGTAAGTTTTTCTCTACTTGACAATGTATGTTAATTGAAACGTCAGAATATGATGTATTTATTTTATATCAATTGCTCTCTTTTTTTTGGTAAAAAAATAAAAAATGGTAGTAGTGGGCTACCATTTCGAGCTGGATCGCTGTTTTTACGAAAAACCCTCCCAAGAAGTTTTTTTACAAGCGGATGATCGAACTCCTGACTTTCTTAAGGATGGTACTCAAAAAAATCGTCCAACTTGTGGCCAAACCAGCTTTTATCCACTAGACCAAACCATAAATTGCTCTTGTGAACCGCACAAAAGACCTTGGCACTCGGGCCCGGGGCCCTACTACGAAAACAATAAATAAAAACCTAACAGAGTAAGTTTAACAATGAAAAACATGATTTAATTAGTCCAGATGTTTAATCCTATGTTAGGCCAACCATCTTAATTGGTAAACCTAGTTGAGACTTTGTGAATGTACTCACAATGTACATTTCTTTTTTCTTTTTTAAAAGGAGGACAATTGGTGGTAAATCATGGTTAATCACTTCTTTCGGAGGTTGGAAATACTACAATGTACATTAAGTTTTGAAAACCTTTATTAACTGGGACACTTTGTAGAGACATTGAGATAGGTGCCAATTTTGAAGCAGAATTAGTATGTGCATTTAAGTAATGGATTGTTCCGATGATAAGGGTTTTTGTCTTCAATTCACTATATTCGAAATTCAAACTATCCCTTCTTCACGTAGTATAAATTAGTGTAAAACATCGCTCGTAGATCGCTGGATCAGTTACCGTCTGCAAGCTTCAAGCCCAAGGCTGCACCTAACTCGTCCTCCGCACTCACGCCGAGGGCGACCTCAATTGCCAAGTCACTTAACCACTGACACCACTACGATGTGGAGTCGACAGTTGGAGGAGGGATGAAGAATGGTACTGACAGAGGAGAGAACTTTGTGGAGGGTGGTTGGGGCTGAAGACGAAGAAACCAATATGGATAGCATGGGAGATGGAGGAAGAAGGGATTATTGATCTCTCTATGCCTTTTGAGAGAATAGAATTAATTTAAGAGAATTGTCATTAGTATTTCAAAAATTTCATTCTACATTTTAAATTTTTTATATTAGGAAAGAAAAATATATTTGTAAAGAGTGTAGAATGAGATTTTTAGAGTGCCAATAACACTTCTCTAATTTAATTACAAATATTAATGAGATAGTCACTGATTTTCTTCTCCAAACCTGTAAGGAGCTGTCAATTTTGCTCTAAATATTAATTTTAGCAAAGCTTCTTTGGGATTGAAAACTAATTCACCCACCTATGCTTCCATTTCCTTTCAAATTAGTTCACTTAAACTTTGAAATTTGGAACCTATAGGGCACAAGGGTAATGTGACATTCAACTTTCTTTCTCTCTTTTTAATTCAAACATGTATAAGACAGGCAGCAGTTGGGACCATGAAATAAAAAGAAGAGAAACCGTTGTTCCCTAGAGCTTTATATTAATGGAATTAAATAGGTTGGTCTTTCGGGGGGTCATAAAGTCATTGAATGTGGATATATAAATAAAGATCAAATGCTGGTTGTAGTTTGAGTTCTATGGATGGGACCATACTAGCACGTAGGGCCTTGTACTACAAGCAAGGTATTCATGGGGCTTCCAACAAAAAAGCTGGTCAAGATTATACGTAAAAGGATGAGAGATCTGAGAGTGTTTTATGAAACACACTAGTAAGATGTGTGATTGTGTGTAGCTAAAAATAATTCAACAAATTTGGGAGATGTGAATGATATACTTCTAAGCTCTTTCGCTGCTAGGAATAGAAGTCAAAGATATTAAAGATACGATTAATTGTCAAAATTTATTTTTAATACTACTTTTAATACTCTTTTAATTGAATATCAACTCAAACAAGTTAAGAATCTTCATCACATTCAAGATATTATCTCCTAATAAATATATTGAGAATATTCTTATCTCATCTATTCTACGAATGACTCACTTTGGTCAATGGGAATCTGTCATGTGTAAGGCAAAACCCTACAACTAGGTCGGTCACCTCCCTATAAATGTCTCATCTTCACCAAATTCTGATAAACTTTTTGCTATGCATACAAGCCCAGAAAGTCATAAACACTGAATATTTTTAGAGAAACTAACTTGGTCAAAGGTGTTATTTTGTTTTGTAGTTACAATTTCGTCAAAACCAAAGACTGCGGAATTTTGCTACTACATTGTGTGCGATAAAACATTTGATAAATGTATTTAAAATGACTTCAATGTAATGCACAGAGA